GTTGTGGTAAGTCGAAATCCCTTTAAAAGTTTATTCGTTCAGTATTCCTTTCGGCGAGCTGACATATCCGTGGCGCACACGTAAAGATACACATGTTTCAATACGAAAAGTAGCTTGTTGTCAGCTGAGGCTAAATGTAGCAAAGCTGCGAATGGGGAGCCATGCTTTAGGTTTGGTCCTTCCTTCAAAAGAGCCGAGCTGAGCTTTCAAGAACGGACAAAACCGGGAGCAGGGCTACAGTCAGGGCTCCGGCTGTGCCGCTACAGCGGTGTCAGGGCGGGCGTAGGGCTCGTTCAGCGCGCGGTCAGTGTTAGTTCCTACACAAACACCAGCAGACAGACAGACATGTCGACTAGACTCTCTTCCACAAACCCAAACTCTGTGTCTGAACTAAAAACGGTCAGTACAAGTGCTGCTAACAGAAATATGTAAAGCTTCTGTTCATTTAAAGTCACTGCTGTTTTCTAGTCGCTGTTTTGTGTGTGTAAGTTACTCCCACTTCTTTTAGAGACTGGGGTGTTTTTCTTTTGTTTGGCTTTAGTTGTATTACATTTCAGATTTCTTTGTCATGCTGTTATGAGTACACTTGGTAAAATGGAATTTAAAGGATGTATAAATAGGTGAATGTGCTCAAATAATATATATTTTGGTTTCTGCATCAGACTGAAGTTAAACAAGAACAATAATAGAAGAGAGCTCTTGCTTTAGTGTTGCCTGTGTGATCATTATCAGGCAGTTTTTGGTCATTTCTGAACTTATTTTAGCATACTCTTTTGCTCCGGCTGTCAGAGTGTGACAAAAGTTGAGCTCAATTATTAAGAGCGTGATTCAGAGCAGCTGGGGGGCTCTAAGGGCCACCATGTGCTCATATGCCATGACAACAGTAACATAACACTAATGGCTAAAAACAAGCTCTTCTGCCAGGGGCCTCTGGCTAAAGCCTTATTTTAGCGTATGTCCTGTGTTGTGTATTGTCCTGGCAGTGTCATTTGTTGGGCTTTTTTATTTTTTGCTGAAAGCAAGCACATGGTTTGATATGACTGTAGGCAATTGAGTATTTTTTTTTTTATTCGAAAGCTGTTCAATGGATCATATTGTTTGTATTTGCCTCAGACACCAACATATATAGCCAGTAACAGGACTATGAATACTCATTTATGGGTCCTGTGACTTCAGTTCCACTCTTCTTAATGGGGGACGTGCTTTTTTTCTAGGATAGAAATAAACTAAAAATTCCCATCATGCAATTCCTTGTATTTTTCTTAAATTTATCTTCCTTAATCCTTTGACTGCCGCTATACCAAATAGCTGACCATGTTTTTACTGTTTTAAATATTAAAGTAATTTACAGAATGACGGTTTTAAATAATGGCGTACACACTAGGGTTGTAACGGTATGAATTTTTCACGGTATGATAATCGTCTAAAACAATACCACGGTTTCGCGGTATACGGTATGTTACAAATGTTACAAAATAATAGAACAGTGAAGCAAATTTGACTTTTTCCAAATAATATATTTTTAGTTACTATAAACAACACCACTTACAATGAACAAATAAAAATAAGAAAATAATAAATAATGTGTCAAAGTCCAAATAAAGTCCAAATAAACATGGTGCAAATCCTCAGTAAAAAATAGATATAAATATTTACTATACTATAAATAGTTACATAACGAAACTAGATTCAATATGGAACATCCTTAGGTTTTATTTGCCAGCATGGATATGGTTGTCTATCGATATGGATTTGGATATGGTTGTCTGCAATGCAGACAAACAGCTGCATCTTCATTTGCGTCTTTTGAAAACAGCAAGAGCAGCAGTTCGTCTTTGCTGTGTCACTGTTTTGTCATGTTTCTGTGCTGCTGTGCATGCAAAAGTACTTAGTATGAGAATTATTTCATGAAAAACTTTTTTTTTTTTGCGTTTTATTTAGCCGCGCATAAATGTATGCCTATCTCTCATTCCGTGTTGTTCAAAAAGCTTGGTCCACAAACAAAAGCGAAACCTATGCTTATTGGTTGTGATATAGCGAGTTTGAACCTATCTGGGCATGGAGGAGGGACAATGCATCAATGTATCATGTCTGATTTGTCCGGAGACACAGTGACGAGCGTTTCTTTGTCAAATCAGCGTTGTCAAATGTTGATGACGTAACCGCACTGATTCCGGAGCCTCTGAAAGTCCGCAAATGTTATGTGATGCAGCACTGGAAAGCTAAGATTCTCTTCTTTATGCCAATCTTTGAATTGTATGAATCGGATCAGCGGATCAAAAGTTATTAAACATTTAAGAGCAATACTTATTTTTAGCCGCGGGCGGCTGTCTCGGTCTTTAAGGGTTAAAACCGTTGATATGCAATTGTTCATGGTATGATAATCGTGCACGTTCAAATCGTGGTAAACCGTCATACCGGTATATTGTTACAACCCTAGTACACACACAGAGTTGTTGGTTTAAGAAAAAATCTAACAACCATAATCCTGTTGCAATACTACAATTGATTTTGGTTTTATTGTAAAGAAACACACACACACACAAAAAAACAAGACAACATGTTAAATGAAAAATTTTACGCCATAATAAAAAAAAGGAGATTTAGTACACAAATGTTTTATTTTGATTCTGTTTTAAATAAATTTAAATCAGAATTTTCATAGTATATGTGTTAATAATAGTACTTTTACTATTAACTGACATATCTACTATTTGGCAGAGGCTGATATTTTAGAAGTTACAGGATGTTTTAAAAAAACTGCATTAAGTGTGTTAACACTAGCGACATTAGGGGTTAAGAAATGAAATCCAAAAACTTTTTTCTAGGTGGGGTTGTTAAAAGGGAAATACTAAGTCACACTGCTTTAAAAATGCAGTTTTTACAAATTTTCACAGAAAATAGTATTTTAAATAAGTCTGTGGTAGGGCTGTGCTATTAATCGAAATCGAATCACAATCATAATTTAAGACATTGCCATTAGTTAATCGCTAGAGGCTGCAATATAAAATATACATGTATCTATGTAAACAAAAATTACGAATAACATCTGAGGTGAAGTGCTTTGAAACCAGTGCTTCAATGCTATAACTACGCTTCAGAAAAGTAAATGTGCCAGAGATGTCCAAACTCTGTCCTGGTGGGCCGGTGTCCAACTGAGTTTAGCTCCAACTTGCTTTAACACAACTGCCAGAAAGTTTCTAGTATGTCTAGTAAAAGCTTGATTAGCTGCTTCAGGTGTGTTTGATTAGGGTTGGAGCTAAACTCTCAAGGATACTGACCCTTCAGGACCGAGTCTGTGCACCCCTGTGCTAGACTTTCTGCGATGGTGTCGCGAGGCATCACAGACATGATATTGGTTGTTGTGAACTATGCATTACACGAGAAGAAACGATTGAATCTTGTGTCACAACAAGTAAATCATGCTAAAATCGTGTGATCTGACCGGGGCTTTATAACTAGTAAATTGAGTGAGCATACTTTTGTTCGACCAAATCAGAATTGCGCAACTAAACTACGGCCACAATTAAAAAAAAGAAAACAAACAGGAAAACACTGACAAGTGGGATTATGGCATTTGCTGCTTTAGAAGCATTAATAGATGAATTAATATCAAAGAAAAACAGCATTTGTTATATGGGAATGCATTTGTAAAATGGGAATATTTTATTTTCAAAGTCACAGACACCGAACAATAACGGGTCTTTTTTAAGAGTTTGAAATCATTGAGCTGAAGCTTGAATTAAAATAAAATTAGCTTGAGTTAAATCATGAATCAAATCACAATCACAATATCTGTCAAAAAAATTGTAATTAGATATTTTCCCCAAATCGCACAGCCCTCATCTGCGGCTTTTATAAACTGTACATATTTTTTGGATGTGGTAAGCTTCTCCTATTTGGACCCCAAAAGATGATGGTGGAAAGACTGTGAGATAAAAACATTGAAATTTCGTGTCTGTCTAGCTGATGAAGCTGATATGTGGTGGGCTGTGGTTGTGGGCTGTGGTTTTTAGCACACCATAGTGAGTGTAGTAATGTGTCAGAAACACATTTAGGTGACGCACAGCACTTTACATGGTGATTCAGCTCTCATTTTAATAGTCGTGTGACCTATTCAAGGTTGTGTGCTCTATTTATGAGGGTAGTTATGTCATGTGAAAGTTTAGTCAATGGCTGAAATGACAGTTCGGTATGCACTGGTATTGATTTTCCATACTGCGTTTGACAGGGTTATAATAGGTCTGATGCTGCTGCTGTGTTTAATCCAGCATTGATTTCCAGCTTTACATTCAGTTCTGAGTAATAGCATGAACAACACGGTATCGCATTACGGAAGAAGAATAGCCTCTTGTCTGAGCAGCAAAGTTGGTCTGGGTGATATTGAAATGCACAGATTCGAGGTCCATTAGTGTATCAGCCACTCTTATTTTTTATTCTTTATTTGTTAGTGGTGCTTTTGGAAGCCATTTGTATATTGGATATATAATATTTCTTGCATAATGCAGAATTTCCCTCTGGGTAAAACAATTGCAGACCTTCCTAAACAAAATGAAGAAATTGTAATTATAACGTTGTCCTGTAAAATTTATTCATTAATTTCCTTTGGCCCTTATTTATCAGTGGTCACCAAAGTTTAATGAACCACCAACTATTCCAGCATATGCTTTATGCAGCAGATGCTCTTTCAGCCACAACCCAGTTCTGGGAAACAACCGTATACTCGTTCACACACATACACTACTGCCAATTTAGCTATTTCAATTCACCTATATCGCATGTCTTTGGCCTGTGGCGGAAAATCGAATCACCTGGCGGAACATGGGAGAGAACATGCAAACTCCACACAGACATGCCAACTGGCCTCGAAGCAGCGACCTTCTTGCTGTGAGGCGACAGTGCTAACCTCTGGTCCTGTTCAATTTTAGAGAGAAAGTTCATCCAAAAATTTAAATTTACTGTTAATTTACTGACTTTAACTAGAAGAACCTTTGAAACTGTGATCTTTGGTGATTCAGTGTTTTATGGAAGAAACTAAACATTAGTTACAACATTATTACAGTTAAGCTTGCGCTTCAGTCTGTGAGTCTACTCAGTATCGTTTGCTGAGGGTTGTGGATGATGTAAATAATGTTCTCTCTCTTCCACAGAACCTCTACAGAAAGCACAGGTATTAATGTAGATTTTCCTGTATGCTTTTTGAAACATAAAGTGCAATAAATGCAGTACTTGCATGTTATTACTCACCTAAACATAGGTTTTAGTCAAAAATCTACCTTAATGTTTAATTTAAATGACCAAACATGGACTACGTCTTGGATGGGCGTAGGCTAAGTAAATTTATTTTTTTGGGAACTACTCCTTTAAATGGATTCCAAATATTAGTATTGGTATCTGCC